TTTGAAGCCTACCAACTGCTGAATGTAAGTTTTTCCCCACTTTTGAAGCTTTAATTGGGAAAATTTAAGGACTTTTGGGGATATATTATATTGGCTGACATGCTGAGTTTCCAAGGTACTTTTCAGGAGTATTTTACGGTAGCAATGCAAGAAAGTTTGGGTTTTCATCTGTTTTTCACAGAAACCACTGTTTCCTAAGTCTGCTTTTCTTTGGGACATTCTAGTTGCAAACCAGTTGTTTCTAAGAACACTGCCAAGCTGGGGTCTCTTGGGGCTTTTACTTGGCAGCATTCTTAATTCTGCTGAAGAAATCAATCTCTCTCTCCCAGTCTTAGTGTTCGCCACCTAGAAGATGCTGCTCTGGTCTCTCCCAAGACTTGGTTTTTGGTGAACAAATCTGAACAAAAGCCAGCTCTTCTGAAAGACTGGACATTACAGCTCACTGCAGGCAAGCTGGGATTTCCCACGCCAGCCAGAGATATTGCCGAGCATTGCGCTGATATCTCAACTCAGTATCTTAGGTACATATTGCAGGTTGCACAGGCAGGCACTGATAGTGCTTCTCGGTGACATGAAACAGCAGCCTAACCACATGTTCCTAACATAACCTAAGATGGAAGAAATTGTGGTGAAAAGCTTTGTTTGACAGGATAGCCAAGTAGAAAATTTCACTTACATGCAACAAATTACAGCCTGTCTCAGTCGTGCTCCGCACAGACCCTGACAGCTCTTGAAAGCTAAAATCATGTACCCTCCCACTTGTACAAATGTGGGCAAGTTGCTTCTGCTGTGCCACTAGCAGCGAAGTGCTCTCTCCAGAATTAGGCATTTTAATGGGGGAAGTGAAAATGGTGAAAGTTCACCCCTTTCTGCCCTGCTTTTTATTCATCTCTGAGAAGACAAGAAGCACTACCTCCTACCAAGGCAAAGGATTTCTCAGCTAGACGAAATGATTTACAGGATGAATAACCACATAATGACGGGTATGAGACAAGTGCTAAATTTACTACAGCTCTGTACTGGCTGATCTTGCATAAAATGAAGCCATTTAGTAATAACGGTCGCTTCATGTCCTGCTTCTAGATTACTGCAAAACATCACTGTTGTTCCTTTGTTCATACAAAATCAACCATATAACTTTGGCAACAGTACTCAGAAACACTGCCATCTCCCAGCACACTGGAGTTGTTTGCCAGAAACAGTTCCCCAGGGGTCACATAGTGTCTCTGCTAGGAGACAAGTGTTCCAGGTACCTGGAAAACATTTGCCTTGAGAAGCCACAGCAATAATTGGCCTGTACAGGAAGGTCTTTAACAAACTGCAGGAAGACTGTGTTTCTAATGGCATGACTGATAACTGCTGCTGAATTTGGTGAAACGGGTTGTTTACGAGTCCCAACATAATATGTATTTTCCTTAAAGTCTGATAGACAGTAATATGCCATTATGCAGATTGCAGGAGCTATAAGGTTCTTGTTTTGGCCAGACAACAGCTTTAGGGGATTTTTCAGTATAATGTTGTTTTTCAATTCTGTGTCTCTTGATGAATGGTTTGTAGATAATGTAGTTTCTTGCAGGCTTAAAATTTGATCCAGTGTATGTGGACAGGAGAGCAGGACTCAGCGTACACAGTCTCACATTCAGTGGTGTGAGCCACCAAGCTTCTGTCCGTCTCAGTTTCTTGCTCTGTCAGATGGATGTAGTTTTTTCTTACCAGTCAGGGGAGCTGCAAGATGCACTGTTCATTTGTATTGGTGTTTGGAATCAAAGGTATTTGGCTACCAAAGAGCCTGGTTTGCCGTTCCCTGAAGTGAACAACAGTGGCCTTTTGAAGCGGTCCTAGTTACTAAGTAATAGTGATGTATTATAATCTGGGTGTATCAGCTACTACATAAGGCTCAAGTTGAAACTTCTAAATAGCATCTGCTTAGAGCTCAAGTACTGCATCTGCATTCAAGGGCTTCAGTATACTGTCTGGTTTCCAGAAGCACTGAGCTGCAGATATGATGGAAGGTGATACAAGCTATCTAAATCTGAAGAAGATCACACAGCTGAAAACCTAGGCTTTTTTGCTTGAAAAGTCTTCCCTGAGTTAGTAAATAATAATGGTCACATAGCTCCAAAAATAAAAGTCAGGATAGTCTTCATTCAGGTGGATGCATACCTGGATTTATGGACATGCAGAACTATTCATGACTGACATTTTATCCAGTTCTCCTCCTAGGATATTAGAATATTCTGTTCAAAGTTCTAGCTGTTGCTGCTCTCAGCTCAAAAATACAATTAGTTAGATGTGAAGATGTGAGGGACAGTTGCTGAGCTAGCTTGGGTATGTTTCTCACAGTGTTTCTAAACATGCCACAGAAGTGTTAGTAAGCACAGGATAATTAGTAACATGGACTGGGACAACAAAGTCTCTATTTTGTTGCTGCTTGACTAAGGTCACATCAAACATTAGCAGGGTATCTGAAAGGAGGAGAAAGATAACCACTTTGAAACAGTTATAAACATTCTGTCTTCCAAAAGGGCTGTTTTGGAATGTTTTCCTGTGTTTGAATAACACCTCATTGTCATTTTAAAGAAACGTGAGAGGGAAGAGGGTCTGAGAGTCTTAGAGCACATCACAGATGAGGCAGACTCTATCCAAAGCTATGGTTGTCCAAGTGAGGTGCTGCTGGAATAGATCTGTCACCCATCAGCAGGGCCGATGCACTGCTCGGTAGCAGACGTGGAATTTCATCCCATGATGTCCCTTGCTTCCCGATGCTAGTCATGGCACTTCTCATAGTGGAGCTATAGCCCCCCCCCCCCCCCCTCTTTTTTTTTTTTTTTTTTTTTTTTTTTTTTCTTATCAGAGCTCGAATAGGCTTATGAAACTAAATTTTGATTTTTCCCTTTTTTTTTTTCCTTTTTCTTTTTTTAGCTTGAAAAATATCTGGCATCTGGTCCCTGAAAATGGTTCTGGAGCAGATTTGGACCCACAAGAGATACAAATTAATGGAAAAGGAGTAAGAATTTCTGACAATGGTGCACAACCCCTTTTTAATTAGACTATCAGTGGCTCTTGTATGCCTTTTCAAACAAGTTTCTGGATGCAGAATGCATATTGAGACACACTAATATTAGATTTTTTTTTGACCCAGTTCAGACCAAAAAGGCAAAAGGCCATATTCTGCACCCTGTTTTTGTAACTCCTGTTGCAACATGTATACCCTGGAGAGCAAACCTACAACTTTGTGGAAGCATTAACACCTTTTTTAGGGAGTTTTATGTTCAGATGTCTTTCTTTCTGTGAACATTAGATATTCTCTACCCCCTACAGAACAGGGCATGAAAGGTTTCTGGGAAACTGGGCTCTGCTTTTTCACAAAAGGAGGACAAACATGCCCTGAAGCCCTCCTACACGATACCAAATGCTGTGCATTCAACAGACCTGCTGGTTAATGATCTTGCCCATAAGTAATGTTTTAACCATAGAGTAGCTTTTGTTTGCTTCAAAAGCCACAAAGCCAAAGAGGAAGTGTAGGAGAACGTGGGCAGGATGGTGGCCAGGAGCCTCATGACCTCATCTTTTTCCGCCACACGGGGATTGGTGGCTGTGCCTGGGACAGGGTTTAAATTCCCTGAAGTCGGAGATGTCAGGCAGTCAGGGGACAAGGGGACAAAGCCAGAGCTGCTGGGAGCCAACTGGCTGGAGCTGCTGCTGGGATCACTGAGGGCGCTCTCGTCACAGCTGACTCCTCCAGCATCAGAAAAGGTAATTTTCTGCTTTTTTACCTGACTTGTGCCATTCTGTCTGCAACTTTAGTCAAGGAAGTGTTGGGCAGGAGATCTTTGAAAACTGCTTCACTGCACAGGGATGTTTGATATTTCTCTGTGGACAAAGATGCGCTTTTATAGGAGCAGGGTTGCTTTAGCGATGCAAGGTATTACACATAATCACAATTTAAACCTTTGTGCTGAAAGGTGTCAGCAGTAGGTTACTGTAAACCTGCCACTGAATCAAGTGCTGGAAACTCAAAGCTGGTACTTGAACACAGAAAGCTTCCTCCCTCATGTAACCATTGCCTGGCAGTGTCCTTGTTGCTCCTGGCAGGCTTGCAGTTTGTGCTGCATGCTACTGAATGGATGGGACACGCACTCTTCTCTGTGTAACTTTTGAAATTGCAATACCTCTAACAGAGTCTCCTGTCTCAGGGCCAGCTGTATTTTAAATGTGCCCTTAGCAGCCTTTCTTTCCTGCTATGATTTACTAAAGTTTTAAATGCCTCTTGTTCATCAATAAATCAGTTTAATTTCTCAGGAATGTTCCTTACCCTGGGAATTGGTCTC